CGACTGGTGACAGGGAGCCGCAGCAGGGGGACGAAAGAGCCACATGCGGCTCCAGAGCTGCAGTTTGCTGACCCTTGACTTAGAGAAGTGGAGAATCGACTCAGGCATGGTTCAAACACATTGCATTACACCATCCACAAACACGGCACATGACAAAACATGACAGGATTGTTTCTCAAGCAGGAGTTGTTGGTTGTATTTGCACAATAAAAGTATACACAGAGCGGGAGACAATTCAGATTAAATAAATAGACCAAATATTGTGCGTGCACAGGGGGTGGGGAGGGAGGCACACCCCCCTGCTCCTCCCTGTAATCTCCATGCGTTGACATCACATCTTGGTGATGTGAGGCAAGATTTCCTACGGAGTCATTTGAAGTTTCCAGAAAAATCTTCCAACCAAGTTCATGACGACCAGTTTGAGTCCGTGAAAAAATGGCTCTAGGTGAAGTTTTCGAAAGGATTCTGAAATGTTTCTCACGGACACACAATTACACTCCAACACTGACAAAATCTATTTGGAGAACGGCAAATGTTAGGACAAGCTTGCTCCCAGACCAAGCGAGAACCTACTTACTGTAGACTAAAAGGTGGGTGGAGTAATCTGTCTTGGGATTGTGTCCTTTGAGGTTTGAGCTGACGTAACTTAGTGCAGAGCAATAGCAATAGCTCTTAGACTTATATACTGCTTCACAGTGCTTTCCAACCCTCTCTAAGCGGTTTAGAGAGTCAGCCTATGCCCCCCCCACCAAACAATCTGGATCCTCATTTTACTGACCTCGGAAGGAGGGAAGGCTGAGTCAATCCTTGAGCTGGTCAGGATCGAACTGCTGGCAATGGGCAGAGTTAGCCTGCAATGCTGCATTCTAACCTCTGGGAGGGAGGGAAGGAAGTAAGGATGGATGGAAGGAAGGAAGGACGATAGCACTTAGACTTATATACTGCTTCATAGTGCTTTTACAACCCTCTCTAAGTGGTTTATAGAGTCAGCCTCTTGCCCCCAACGATCTGGGTCCTCATTTTGCCCACCTTGGAAGGTTGGAAGGCTGAGTCAAACTTGAGCCTGGTGAGATCTGAACTGCCAAACTGCAGGCAGCCGGCAGTCTGCAGAAGTAGCCTGCAGTACTGCACTCTGACCACTGCGCCACCATGGCTCAGAGAAAGGAAAAACTAGCAGGCCAAGATTAGAATCTTCTAGAGAAGATGGGAAGGTTCCACATGAAGATGTGATACAGATGTGCTCTGGCCCAAAGTCGATCTCTACCTGAAGGATGGAGAGTAGAATCCATCCAGGTAGAAGCAAGGGATGTAAAAAGATTCATCTCGTTTCAGAGATGGGACAGAATATTTGGCTTGGGGGTGAATTGTGAGTAAGGTTTTTGGTATTCTCTGAGCTGGATGGTTTTCTTGCAGATGTTTTGTGACCCAACTAGGAAACATCATCAATGCTGCAAGTGTCCACCATTCCCTTGTAACACTGATGATGTTCCCTAGTTGGGTCATGAAACATCTGCAAGAAAACCCCAGGTTCAAAGAGGGCAAAGCACCCCATTGAGATGCAATGTTCTGCAGAACTTCGGAATGCTTTCTTTTTTTCCCAGTCTAGCATCTTTGGCCAGTTCTAAGGTTGCTCCCCAAACTGTCCACAAATAAATCCTTAAGAACCACACCCTGCTTACTCTCGGAAAACATTCAGGGATCCCGTGGAACAACCAAAAAGTCAGGAATTGAAGGGAACAACAGGGAATTGAAGACTTTTCTGTATTATGTGCAACATCATGCATGGATTTGACTTCCCAGTAACAGATCCATCTTGGTTTTTTGACCCCCCCAATGCTCCCTGGATTCTAGAAAGCTCTGAAATCAAAAGATCCTTTGGGTGAACGTGCCTGTGAGATGGTGACTGGGCACATGAGGTCATGAGGCCACCGATCTCCTTGCGCTCTGGAACATTTCTTGGACGTCCATTGAAACAAGGGTCATTTGAGTTCCAGAAGCATCAATGTCCATTCGTTGGAGGCCAAAGATGAGGATGGCCATCGTCTTGAATGACGAAGACCCCACAGAAATTTAAAGAAGGATGGGGAACCATCCTGAGTTGATCTATTCAATGAGGAGCCTTCAACATAGTTGGATGACTTGGCCAACAGAGACTCAAGGACTTCCTTTCGCTGCCAAAACCAGCTGACACTTGAGGCCACTGCTCTTCCTTCTGACATGCCAACGCAGACCCAAGGAAGGGAACAGGTATCATCATCTTCTTCTTCTTCTTCTTCTTCTTCTTCTTCTTCTTCTTCTTCTTCTTCTTCTTCTTCTTCTTCTTCTTCTTC